TCTCTCTCTTTTCAGTGGAGGTAACATCTTGCTTGAGACTCTCTTCAACTAAATGCGTTTTTTCTGTGTTTCCAAGCAAATTATTGGTCATTTTGAAATTTATTTTACATATTGACAATATACTGTATAGCGCAGTGCAGTGTTATTTTAAAGAAAATATTCTTTATTTACAGCTAGTTTAAACTTTAAAAATCACGCGTTGAGATTGTTTGAATCCAGCATGAGGCCTAAGAGATCAAGAAAAGCGTTTTCAATCCAAACTAAGCAGGAAATTATTAAAAAACATGAAGAAGGCATTAGAACAAATGCGCTATGCAAAGAATATGGCATGTCGACATCAACTGTGTCGACAATTCTTGCACAGAAAGACAAATTTAAAGAAGTGAAAGTGAGAGACAAATCTACCAGTGTTTAAAGGTAGATCCCTAATTGCAGAAACAGAGAGGTTACTTCTCATCTGGATTAGGGAAAAACAGATGAAAGGTGATTCAGTTTCTAAGAAAAGAAGTGACATTTTTAGTGTTGTTAGGCATGGTGAGGCTGCCAGTGCTGATAAGGAAGGAGCAGCAAAATTTATAGTGGACTTTAAAGAACTGGTGGATGAAGAAAATTATCTTCCACAGCAAGTGTTCAATGTGGACGAAATTGGGCTGTTTTGGAAAAAGATGCCCAAAAGAACATTCATCACCAGAGATGAAGCCTCCTTACCTGGGCATAAACCCATGAAAGACCGTCTCACTCTATTGCTTGGTGCCAATGCTTCAGGGGATTTCCGACTGAAGCCTATGCTTGTCTACCACTCTGAAAACCCCAGGGTGTTCAAGCAACAAAAAGTGGGAAGAACAAAGCTTGGATATTGTAAGTCCAACCGTAAGGCATGGGTGACAAGACAGCTCTTTAATGAATGGGCTGTTGAGGTGTTTTGCCCTTCTGTCAGTAGCTACCTAACCACCAATAAACTCCCTTTAAAGGCTCTTCTCCTCATGGATAATGCTCCTGGTCATGAGCCTGACCTTGCCAGAACTTTGGAGTATTAATTTGACTTTGTGAAAGTGTTGTTTTTGCCTCCAAACACTACATCAATCATACAGCCAATGGACCAGAATGTGATCAGCAACTTCAAGAAGTTGTACATGAAGAAAATGTTTAGGAGGTGTCATCAGGCAACTTCCACTGATCCTGAACTAACACTGAAACAGTTCTGGAAGACACAATTCAACATCCTGGAGGCTGTAAAATTGATTTTGGCATCATGGCAAGAAGTCTCCACTAGATCCCTCAATTCTTCATGGAAAGCACTGTGGCCATCAGTAGTCCATGATTTTGAGGGATTTGAGGAAGAAACAGAGTTGGACCAGGAGATTGTGTCCATTGGTCAGTCATTGGGTCTTGAAGTGGAGGAGGAGGATGTGGAAGAGCTTGTGATGTCTCATGAGGAGGAACTTACTCCTGATGACTTGAAGCAACTGGATGAGATGTTACAGGTAGAGGCTGACAGTGGTGAGGAGGAAATTGAAAGTGATGACCATATGTCAACTTCAGAGTTGAAAGATGTTATTTACTACTGGGAGAAGTTCAGGGAACTGGCTTCAAAGCACCCAGATGTGGAAAAGTCTGAACTAACTTTGTGTCATGTTGAGGACACAATGGTCTCCTTCTTTAAACATAAGTTAATGATGAGGAGGAGAGATGCTCCACAGACTACAATTGACACTTTCTTCAGTAAAAGGCAGAGGGAACAAGATGCTAGCCCTCAGCCTTCCACTTCAAGAAGGAGAGAGGATGTTCATGGTGGAGAATCTCAGTCCAGAGGTTCCTGACATTTTCATGGAAGGTGACTCACCTTCCAAGAAGCAGTAAAATGCTTCTCCTCCACCTCCACTTCCTTCTCTTCTCCTTTCTCCTCCTCCACCTCCCACTTCAAATTCACATCATCATCATCATCCGGGAGCCTTCTACATACACACCTCAAAGTAAGTGTAATTTTCTACCTTTTTTTGTTGAATTTAGGCAATTTTCGGTGAGCTGGAACCAATTACCCAAACACCCATTGAAACAGTGGTTTTGGTTAACGAAATTTTCGGTTAACGAGCAACCTGCTGGAACGGATTGTGCTCGTGAACCGAGGGACCACTGTATTACATTTTCAGGTTGAGTAGACTCACTGCTATCATTTAGGATATCATCGGGCGGTTGGGTCCCGGCGAAAACCACTGTGGCCTCCTGCGTCGGCTCCCTGCCATGTGGGTTTCGACAATTGTTTTCCTTTCTGCAAGCCACACATGGTCAGTTGTTTCTCGCATATTCACAGCTAGTGCAATTTTGATACTGGCTAGCACAGATGCAACAATGTCTGTTACCCGTCATAGTGTTCCGTACCTTGGGCGACAGTTACGTCCGCCTCCGACATTTGCTTTGGTCCCATACAGAAGAGGAAACTAGTTCTTATAAGTAAAGGGCAGAAAGGTGACAGGTGTCACCATTGTGACACTTATCATCTGACAAGTCGATAAGTGTCACAATGGTCTGAGCCACGCAGGGCGATCTCTTTCCCTGACACTGATGTAGTCAATGAGATGCCAGTGTTTGGATCATGGGTGTTGCCACGAACCCTTGAACTTGTCGGCGTACCTAAACAAGATATTGGTGATAGTGAGGTTGTGAACAGCACACTTGCTGAGGAGGAGTTGGCCGTTGGGATTACACTTACCTAGTCCATTTCTCCCTATGATTCCCTGCCAAATATTAGCATCTCTGCCAACTCTAGCATTGAAGTCACCAAGGAGAATAACCTTTTCTTCTCTGGGGATAGAGGTTAGCCCTCTGTCGAGGTCGGCATAAAAGGCCTCCTTGATGTCATCCTCTGCATCCAGTGTTGGTGCGTATGCACTGATGAAGAAGGCATGGTGTGAGTGATTCAGTGGGACTCGAAGCGTCATGAGGCGCTCGCTGATCCCAATAGGCATTTCAGTTAGCCTGTGTAGGATGCGTTGGCGAATGTCAAAGCCAACTCCATAAATGCGGTTTCTCTCCGCAGCAGGCTTACCCTTCCAGAAGAAGGTGTAGCCAGACTCCCGTTCTGTGAGCCGGGACTCACTGATGGCTACTATATCAATGTTATACCAAGCCAGCTCTTGTGCCAAAAGGGCAGTTCTTCTTTCAGGACTCGCATTTATGCCAGTATCCATAAGGGTCCTGACATTCCATGCAGCGAACATATGAGATTGTATGGTTTGTTTTTGTTTGGATCTGTGATTTTGGTTGTGTTTTCGACTGCATAAGGATGACCTTACTGGGTGCGGTTGCCCAGTCAGGTTGGTTCTTTAGGCAGGCTATGTTTAGGGCACCTTTTCTAGCCCCCCTCCCCATGTGGGGTGAGCAGAGTGGCTCCCCCAAAAGGGATGTTCAGTCGCACAGACAGGACCGGATTGCACTGCTGCCTAGATCCCAGAGCATAAACGACCATCTTATATGTGCTGCCCATGTGCAGAGTTGTGACTAGAAACTCCTTGCAGTCATTTTTGCCTGTCCCCGTTGCCATTGCGCTTTTGGGGGTATAGGGGTTTTGATGATGAGAAGTATGATGAACTGGATGATGGCTGCGTGTGAGTTGATTTATGTGGTGAGGCAGGAGCAGGGGCTGCAACCACACATCTTGGCTTTCCCTTTTCCTGAACCAGTGGTGCAAGTGTTGCAACGACTGGGGAGAGGGAAAGTCGCAATGGACTGCCGATAGCCCAGTTTGTTGGGTTTCGCCTTAGTAGCCTGTCCATCAGGCATTGCCTTCGTCCGCCGGTGTAATCGTTGGGTTTCCATGGTGGTCACCTCTTCCGCCTACACCACCGTTGGGGTCTTGTTGGAGCTCTGTAAGCATGTCTGCCTGATGCGGGGCTCCACCGCAGATTTTTTGTTTGGGGTTTACTCCCATAGCCTTATACATGCCAAGGTTAATCTGCAAGGCAGCGGGACGGTGGTTGGTAGGCGCCAGGATGTGTCCACATGCCAGTGGGCCTATGCGCCTTCCCTCTGGGGTTCACTGCTACTCCGAGATCCCCTGCTGGTCTAGCCTGGGCCCACAAGGCACCCAATTACTGTGTGTTGCAACAAGGAGGCACAGCAGGAGTCTTCATGGTGAGGAGGCTGTGTACTGGCAGGGGAAGACTTATGCTAGTTGCTTCCCTGTTAACGACAAGGGCTAGCCAGCGGCGGCAGCTGAAAGCGAGAGAGAGCAAGCAGTGCTTGCACCTTAACACTAACATAATGCTGCCATACTAGATGCATTTCACCACCCTGTGTGACCCCCCTCCCACCACACACACACACGAGACTCTTCCTCGTCCCTGTGTTATCAACCTGTGGTAAGGACATTTATTTATTTCCTTTTTATATAATTTATGGAAAGTTTTTAAGACTAGAATTGCATTTTTATTTGTGTTTTAAATGTTCCCGAATATACCGGGGATATAGCCCGAACCCCAAGGGATAAAAAGAAAATATTGTATTATGAATCATTTAAAGTGCTAATATACCCTGTACTGTACTGCATACTGAAGTCTAGTCTTGTGTCAGTGAGCATAAATCTAAGAACCTTCTCTTATGAGTGATTGTACATCAAGGAATTATCATTAATAGCCTTAAAAGTTAATAAGGGCACCTAAAAGAGTAGAGGTGAAGTGTTAGCTGGCAACTCCATATACTGGTCAGAGTCACTTGCCATCCATACAGTGCTCAAGTCTACATTTAAACGAGTTGACAATAAATGGATTTGTGAGGGTCATGAGGTGCTTCTGTTTCACTACATAGCTGGGAGGAGTGTGAGGGTCATGAGGTGCTTCTGTTTCACTACATAGCTGGGAGGAGTGTGAGGGTCATGAGGTGCTTCTGTTTCACTACATAGCTGGGAGGAGTGTGAGGGTCATGAGGTGCTTTTGTTTCACTACATAGCTGGGAGGAGTGTGAGGGTCATGAGGTGCTTCTGTTTCACTACATAGCTGGGAGGAGTGAGAGGGTCATGAGGTGCTTCTGTTTCACTACATAGCTGGGAGGAGGTGAGGGCTCAAGTGGGGTGCCTGTTTCACCATGGAGTAGGCTGGAGGAGTGTGAGGGTCATGAGGTGCTTCTGTTTCACTCTACATAGCTGGGAGGAGTGTGAGGGTCATGAGGTGCTTCTGTTTCACTACATAGGTGGGAGGAGTGTGAGGGTCATGAGGTGCTTCTGTTTCACTCTACATAGCTGGGAGGTGAGGGTCATGAGGTGCTTCTGTTTCACTACACATGGCTGGGAGGAGTGTGAGGCTCATGGTGCTTCTGTTTCACCACATAGCTGGGAAGTGTGGGGTCATGAGGTGCTTCTGTTTCCCTAGCTGGGAGGAGTGTGGAGGGTCATGAGGTGCTTCTGTTTCACTCTACATAGCTGGGAGGTAGAGGGGTCATGAGGTGTTGTTTCACTCTACATAGCTGGGAGGAGTGAGAGGGTCATGAGGTGCTTCTGTTTCACTACATAGCTGGGAGGAGTGTGAGGGTCATGGTGCTTCTGTTTCACTACATAGCTGGGAGGTGAGAGTGTCATGAGGTGCTTCTGTTTCACTACATAGCTGGGAGGAGTGAGAGGATCATGAGGTCTTCTGTTTCACTACATAGCTGGGGAGGGAGAGTGTCATGAGGTGCTTCTGTTTCACCTACATAGCTGGGAGGAGTGTGGGTCATGAGGTGCTTCTGTTTCACTACATAGCTGGGAGGAGTGAGAAGGGTCATGAGGTGCTTCTGTTTCACTACATAGCTGGGAGTGTGAGGGTCATGAGGTGCTTCTGTTTCACTACATAGCTGGGAGGTGTGAGGGTCATGAGGTGCTTCTGTTTCCTCATAGCTGGGGAGGTGAGGAGGTCATGAGGTGCCTGTTTCACTATAGCTGGGAGGAGTGAGAGGGTCATGAGGTGCTTCTGTTTCACTACATAGCTGGGAGGTGTGAGGGTCATGAGGTGCTTCTGTTTCACTACATAGCTGGGAGGTGTGTGAGGGTCATGAGGTGCTTCTGTTTCACTCTACATAGCTGGGAGGAGTGAGAGGTCATGGTGCTTCTGTTTCCTTACATAGCTGGGAGGTGTGAGGGTCATGAGGTGCTTCTGTTTCACTACAGCTGGGAGGTGAGAGGGTCATGAGGTGCTTCTGTTTCACTCTACATAGCTGGGAGGAGTGTGAGGGTGTGAGGTGCTTCTGTTTCACTACATAGCTGGGAGGTGTGAGGGTCATGAGGTGCTTCTGTTTCACTACACATAGCTGGGAGGAGTAGAGAGGTCATGAGGTGCTTCTGTTTCACTACATAGCTGGGAGGAGTGAGAGTGTCATGGGGTGCTTCTGTTTCACTACATAGCTGGGAGGAGTGAGAGGGTCATGAGGTGCTTCTGTTTCACTGCATAGCTGGGAGGAGTGTGAGGGTCATGAGGTGCTTTGTTTCACTACACTAGCTGGGAGGAGTGAGAGTGTCATGAGGTGCTTCTGTTTCACTACATAGCTGGGAGGAGTGAGAGGGTCATGAGGTGCTTCTGTTTCACTACATAGCTGGGAGGAGTGAGAGGGTCATGAGGTGCTTCTGTTTCACTACATAGCTGGGAGGAGTGAGAGGGTCATGCTTCTGTTTCACTACATAGCTGGGAGGAGTGTGAGGGTCATGAGGTGCTTCTGTTTCACTACATAGCTGGGAGGAGTGTGAGGGTCATGAGGTGCTTCTGTTTCACTACATAGCTGGGAGGAGGAGAGGGTCATGAGGTGCTTCTGTTTCACTACAATAGCTGGGAGGAGTGTGAGGGTCATGAGGTGCTTCTTTTCACTCATAGCTGGGAGGAGTGTGAGGGTCATGAGGTGCTTCTGTTTCACTACATAGCTGGGAGGAGTGGAGGTCATGGGGTGCTTCTGTTTCACTACATAGCTGGGAGGAGTGAGGGTCATGAGGTGCTTCTGTTTCACTCCTTAGCTGGGAGGAGGAGAGGGTCATGAGGTGCTTCTGTTTCACTACATAGCTGGGAGGAGTGTGAGGGTCATGAGGTGCTTCTGTTTCACTACATAGCTGGGAGGAGTGTGAGGGTCATGAGGTGCTTCTGTTTCACTACATAGCTGGGAGGAGTGTGAGGGTCATGGAGGTGCTTTGTTTCACTACATAGCTGGGAGGAGGGAGAGGGTCATGAGGTGCTTCTGTTTCACTACATAGCTGGGAGGAGTGAGGGTCATGAGGTGCTTCTGTTTCACTCACATAGCTGGGAGGAGTGTGAGGGTCATGAGGTGCTCTGTTTCACTACATAGCTGGGAGGAGTGTGAGGGTCATGGGGTGCTTCTGTTTCACTACATAGCTGGGAGGAGTGTGAGGTCATGGGGTGCTTCTGTTTCACTCTACATAGCTGGGAGGAGTGAGAGGGTCATGAGGTGCTTCTGTTTCACTACATAGCTGGGAGGAGTGTGAGGGTCATGAGGTGCTTCTGTTTCACTACATAGCTGGGAGGATGTGAGGGTCATGGGGTGCTTCTGTTTCACTACATAGCTGGGAGGAGTGAGGGTCATGAGGTGCTTCTGTTTCACTCTACATAGCTGGGAGGAGTGTGAGGGTCATGAGGTGCTTCTGTTTCACTACATAGGTGGGAGGAGTGTGAGGGTCATGAGGTGCTTCTGTTTCACTCTACATAGCTGGGAGGAGTGTGAGGGTCATGAGGTGCTTCTGTTTCACTACATAGGTGGGAGGAGTGTGAGGGTCATGAGGTGCTTCTGTTTCACTCTACATAGCTGGGAGGAGTGTGAGGCTAATTAGTGAATTTACCAGTGAGTGAATAACTTAATGTTAAGAGCAAATATGTACCTTAAATTATCACTGATGGGTATTTTTGTTTACAGCGACATCACCAAGACAGCTGGGCAGCATAAGCCAGCTCAGGCAGTAATCAGCCCCCAGCCAGAGTCACAAGGACCAAGACGCAATATGCAGAAGAAGAAAAGTGGAGGCAAGAAGAAGAAAGGTGGTGGCTGGTAGTGGGCGATGTCCCTCCCAAATGTTAGGTCTCCTGTCTGTGTCTGAGGCTCCAATATTCACTACAACATTCAGTGGGTGTAACTCAAGCTGATAATAGTAATTTGTGTATGTGATGTAAGAATACTGTACTGTCGTTTTTCCCGTATCTGACACTAATGAAGAGACGACACCAGATGGGAAGGTTTACCATGGCGTGGGGCCTTGACATGACACGGGACTAGGACTTGACACAGGGTCTTGACGTGACATGGGACTAGGACATGACACAGGACCATGACATGACACCAGGCTCTTGACACAGTGCAAGGCTTTGGTGTGATACAGGATTCAGCTCTGTGCACATAATAGACAATAATACACCTGTAGGTAAGGAACAACTAGTCCAACCTGAACTAAATAAACCTATTCTCGGATATTTGCAGTATTTTACAGCATTTAAGACACTTTTTTGTCTGAAAAAATGGCTCAAAAAATCGTTCTTTGTCCTATATGTGAAGTTGTGGGCACAGAGTATTTGGGGGGGGGGGGTGCATTTCTAGGGGATCGGTGGACATAGCGTCCCTGCGGGTCTCCGTTGCAATGGTAAAGCACGGAGTATTTGGAAATAGCCACTGTGTTAAACTTTCATTTGGGTTTTATTTACTTGTTTAACAATATAGTTTTTTTGTTGTAACTTATTTATTGGTATTACTTCTATTTATTCCTCACATTTACTGGTACTTTATTATTTTAAGAAAACACATTTTTTGTGTTTTTTCCTAAATACTCTTTGCTAAAATGGGGGATGCATCTTATATGGCCGTTCGTCTTATATGCCGTTAAAATTTGTAAGGTTGGTTGGGTTTGTTTGTAGTGTCAGACATTATTGTACTGCATTGTAATAATCCATGATATATTTTTAAAAACCAAATGTGAGATAAGAGGTTTGAGCCTTGTCAGTAATGCCCCATCACATGTGTTCAGCCTTGGGATGTAACTTGTGTGTAGTTCACAGTATTATGGCAGAAAATGGAATGGATTCACATAAAGCTTGTTCACCTTTTAAGCAGATAGATTACATATTGAAGTTTAGTTGACCTGTTGAATCACTTGGTGTGAATGGGGCAGCCCTATGCTTGTAATGTCAGTGTCTGCCTTTGTTCAAATGATCGGTGATGGAAAGTAAATGAAATGCATTGAAAGATAATTTTGTATGTCATTATCCTCACAGTCTTATATAAATATGAATGTTTGTTATGCTGACATATGGGTACACTTGAGGCTCTCTCACATTACCTTACAAGTTTTTGGTTTTGTGACAGTTTCAGGAGAAGATAAGGAGTGTTTGTTTTAGCTGTAAAGTATGGTAGTGGTAGGAGTCATGTCTCAGAGGGGTTTACAAGGAAAGTATACATAAGGAAGAGCATCTTAAAGCTACTTAATGTACAGTAGATCCCCGTAGTGTGTGCATCTGGCCACTACTCTGTAGATGGCACTGATTAAATGGCGGGAAAAGTTGTGTTGGCTGTTTGTTTTGACTCTTGGCCGCTGGCCATGGTGACTGACATGACCAAGGAAAGTATATAGGAGGAAGCACTTCTCCCATACTTTACTTTGAGGCCTCCAATTGGCCCCAAGATGTCCAGACGTCCCAATTTTTCAACAAGCGTTCCACATTCTGACAGCGTCCCGATAATGTCCCACATTTTCAGACTTTGTCCCTGTTAGGTGTTCTGGGTAATAAGTTCTATATACAGGAGAGAACACAAACACCTGTATAGTTTTGTAGGTTCGGTTTACTGGATAAGAGTATGTACACAGAGGGGGGGTAGCACTCCTCAGCTAGGCTCCTGTCAACTGCTATAGACGACGTATGGCAAGTGATACATTAGCAGCTTCCATACGTCGCCAGGCACATTAATTAAGCATGTGGGATATGGTAATAACATTGCCACACGCTGCTAGCTAGGCTGAATAAATATAAATGGAGCACATACATAATATACATACATAATACATAATCCAGCATACATAATATACATACAGTCCCAAAATGTCCCACTTCATTAACAAAAGAATAAATATTGACAAAAGAAATTTGAAACGTTTTTGAGAGAGAGGGAGGTTGGCAGTGGCAATAAAAGTAATGTTTGGCAACTTAGCCCTCCAAATTTATATGATTCCTGTCCTGTTCTGGCTGCATGCATAGATGCCATATATTATGTGATACATCTGGTATTCTTCGTTTAAAGACATTTACCGATATAAAAAGTGCGCTGTAATGTCACAGTAGTATATCATATATTGCATTATAATTCTCGATATAAACTGTACAAACATTGAAAATATTTATCAACAAAAGAAGTAAATTTACAAAAACAGGCAGAAAACTGCAACTGTAAGTTATGCTGCTCACTGAATCCTCCGTGCTGGTCAAGCCGCTTGGAGCATTACACGCGTGACACGCACAGAAAATTAGGAAAGTTATCTTTATGCTGGACAGTTTTTCTTCATTTTGGTTGAGAAAATGCCCAAGCAAAAGTGTACTTTTAATTCCTCCCTGCAGTCAAGATACCCCTTTGTTACAAAAACAAAGACAGAAAGTGATGTAGGGTGTGTGAAATGTGAGAGAATTTAGCTTTACACATGGTGGATACAGTATAATGATATTGCTAAGATCTGATCTCACAGAAACTCAAAGCTGCTGATGTCAGTGCCTCGTCTAGCAAAACACTCACTGCCTTTTAAAAGTGCGTCCTTTATCAGTTAGGATCTGGAGGTGGCTGCTGTTGAGGGTTTGTGGGTCTACCATAAAATCAAAGAGAATCAAAGCTTCCAATCTAATGACTGCATCAAAAATCTTTCAGAAATGCTTTTAGCCAAAATTTAGATGTGCCATTCAATGTCTTTGCACAAGTTGCCTTATCAGAACTGGATAAACAAATGAACAAACTGTGGACATTTGAAAAATCACAATTAAAAGTCCGGACGTTGCCTCAAAGCCTTACTAGTCACGTAAGTTAACTTTAAGGAAATTTGTCTGGAGTTGTACAATATGTTAAGATCAACTCCAGGGATGTTAAAACTAATCTTGTCCAGTGAAAAGTATGAGCATTAGAAGGTGAGTCGGTAAATACCATTGTGATGTACAATTGTTTTGGTTTTGGGTCAAGTATAATCAGTGTTGGTGTATGGATTGTAGGGGTTTTCTTTCATGATTTTTAGTATGTCCCGCTTTTAACTCCAAGGAATATGGTCACTTTAGATTGGCCTGCCATTTAGTGGCCAGCTGTCCCTAGGAAGAGTGATTTTCTTTATCTTTTAAGGATATACTATGATATAAAATGAATTATTTAGCAAAAACTGCAATATACAGTAGTGTATACTGTACAGTATATCCGACTCAAAATTTTCCTTTAGATTTATTTCTTGTACAGGTGCTCCTCTACTTACGAACGAGTTATGTTCCTGAAGCTTGTTTGTAAGTCCAACTTTACTCTTGTAGATACCAAACATATTGTAAAAAATAAAAAGATTATGGATATTTAGTACAGCTATACCCTTTAATACAGCCTTAAAACCTGGCTCACTCTTCTCCTCTTAGGTAATGTTTGTTCTATCTGCAATTTTTTTCAAAATAGTCTCGTCCACATAAACACCTGCTCTGGCAGGTAACCCCCTCCCCGCCCTCAGAGATGATGTTTGCATCTCTGAAAGTTTGTAAGCTGAACGTTCTTAAGTCGAGGAGCACCTGTACACCCATTAAAAAGAATTTCGGGACCCATGTCATATTGTATCAAGCCGTAAGGGTGCCAAATAATTTTTTAGTGGTTGTACATGTTTATATAAATGTTCACGACCACACAGGTGTACATAGTCATACAGGTGTACAACCAATAAAATATTATTCAGCACCCTTACGGCTTGATACAATATGACACGGGTCCCGAATAATTTTTTAGTGGGTGTACATCAATTGTTATTGTACCGTACACAAGATTATAGATCCTGGAGGATGCCTCACCCGATGATCAAGTTGAGGGATTTCCTATATAATCATTCCCTCTACTGTACAATTCATGTACTGTACTTCTGCTAAGGTCAACCTATTGGTGATCAGAAACAACATCACAGGAAAAAAAGTACAATATGTTTTTTGTTATGATTATGTTTAAAGGCACAGTTATATTTACTTTACATATCTTTTATCAGTTCAGGCAGCAAATATAAGAACCATTTACAGAGAACATGAACATCATTAAATTAAAAAGACATACTGTACTGTACTGTACTGTATTGTACTGTACTGTATTGTAATGTACTTTACTGTACTGTACTGTACTGTATTGTACTGTACTGTATTGTACTGTATTGTACTGTACTGTACTGTATTGTACTGTACTGTACTGTATTGTACTGTACTGTACTGTATTGTACTGTACTGTATTGTACTGTACTGTATTGTACTGTTCTGTACTGTATTGTACTGTACTGTACTGTACTGTACTGTATTGTACTGTTCTGTATTGTACTGTACTGTACTGTATTGTACTGTACTGTACTGTACTGTACTGTACTGTGCTGTACTGTATTGTACTGTACTGTATTGTACTGTACTGTACTGTATTGTACTGTACTGTACTGTATTGTACTGTACCTGTACTGTACTGTATTGTACTGTACTGTACTGTACTGTGTACTGTTCTGTACTGTATTGTTGTACTGTATTGTACTGTACTGTATTGTATTGTACTGTATTGAACTGTACTGAACTGTACTATTGTACTGTATTTTTTTGTACTGTACTGTACTGTACTGTATTGTACTGTACTGTATTGTACTGTACTATACTGTATTGTACTGTACTGTATTGTACTGTACTGTACTGTACTGTATTGTACTGTACTGTACTGTATTGTATTGTGTTATACTGTACTATATTGTACTGTACTGTATTGTACTGTACTGTACTGTACTGTATTGTACTGTACTGTATTGTATTGTACTGTATTGAACTGTACTGAACTGTACTGTATTGTACTGTACTGTATTGTACTGTATTTTTCTGTACTGTACTGTACTGTACTTTACTGTATTGTACTGTACTGTACTGTACTGTACTGTAGTGTAGACTGTGGGTGTCTAAGTATGGACTAAGAGGGAAGCACAAGAAGAAATTTAAGCTAATAGTGGAGTTCATACTGGGGGTGTACTTGACTACCTGTTACATCATCAAAGTCAACCACAGCTGGGTGGAGGGGCCCAGGCACATTTTGTACCAGCTGGAGCTGCTGAGAAGTCAGAAGAAGAAAGTGCTGGACACAGTGATGCTCACTGTGAGGAGGTCAGCCTGGTATGCACACCCAGAGGCAGTGTTGCAGGCCATGCTGTGCAGTGAGGTGGAGGATAAGAGGAGAGAGGCAGTGGACAGGATACTGAAGTTGAGGGTGGAGGGAGATGAGGAGACACAGATTGGTGACAACTCTGTCAGGCCCAGGAGAACACCTGACATAACCCAGATGCCACCAAGCTGTCAGAGCCGATAGACTGGACTACTGGGACCACTAAACCTCTCCTCACCTGTTCCCTCACCACAGCTCAAGTCCAGCAGTTTGTGCACAGGCCTATGGAGGTGCCAGAATGGCCTTCACCTACTCAGAGTGTGGAGAGGTGTGTCTAACTGGTAACAGAGGCAGCTGCCCAGGTCTACAGTCATGAGAAAGGGATGGGATGATCAAGCCCCAATTGGTGAGCAGACTTCTGATGTCTAGGAACAGGAGCAAGCAGGACCTGGCCTCTCTCACCAAATTTAAGAGGTGAAGAGTATAGTATGTGAGCATATGTATGTGTGTGTGTGTGTGTACATGTCTGTACATACAGTCTGCGCGGAATGTTAGTTCGTGTGCTGAAAAATATTGATATTTACGATTATGTTATATAAATAAAGTCAAGTAACACTTACCACTTCAATTAATACTTTGTAATGTTTCCTCTGCGCTTCAGACAGTCTTTTAGCCTTCGAGGAACACTGTCAGCAAGGTTTTGCAAGAGGTCAGGTGGCAAGTTAGCCCAGGTATCCTTGATGGCTGCCTCTAGCTTCGGGATTGATGATGTGTCAGCGTCGCGCAGACGACGCTTAACAATGGACCACAAATTTTCTATTGGGTTAAGATCTGGGCTACTGCCAGGCCAGTCATTGAAGAAAGG